ATGTTTATGTTTTATAATCATGAAGTTTTCTTATGAACACATTCTTATGTTATCATAGAATTTTCCTTATACTTTTTTGTATAAATTATATGCATTTTATACAAATTATGTTACACATAACAGTTGAAAGGTTTTGATAGTTGGTAGTAGGTAATAACAATTTAATAGGTAACATTGAATACTTAATAGTACCTAACCAAACCTATAGGTTATTAATATAAATCGAATAACCAGTTAAGTTATGAATAAAAATAAAACTAATAAGTTTATGAGAAACAAATTTCACTACTTATGGATTTACATAAATAAGTATCGTAATTTTGTGTTTTTCTTTTTATTTGTATGAAAATTAACTTTTAAGGTTTGGACAGTTGGTTTTAAAGGCGCTACAATTAGGCAATTTATATATTACATTAAATAAATTTAATATAATAAATTCAAACTGTTGTGCCTTCTTATATTTTATTCATATCAGATTAAATTAAATTAAAAATAAAACTTATATTTATTTATTTTACTCAATATTTTTTAAAATCAATAGATTTTTAAAACTTAACTAACGTTTCTTATAGATATTAGTTAACAAATATCAAACCTGTATAACATGATAATATTATTATTTTATAAATTATTATAAAAATACGCGTGTTACGTATAAAGTASTAATAAAATAACTTCAAATTAATAACMAACTAAATGCACATAACGTAAAAAGTTTGGTGCAAGTTAAAATTTTTTTTTTAACTATTGATGTGACAGAATTAATTGATTTCAGCTGCTAATAAACCGATGAAAAATGCTCTCATTTGTCAAAATGGACTTTATCTTCAGTTTAGGAAAAAGGTGCATATAGACAATAATTTTTCTAATCTTCAATATTCAAATAGAAACCACAACGTTCCTACATTGATTTATTTTAAATATGTCTACATACACAAAATACATCAACGCCTACTTATGTGGTCTATGATATCTGTCACAGTAATCCAAATAGCATTTTAGTTAGTAGATTATATTATTTCCTATAATTACGAGTAGAAAACACGAATTACATT